CTCCATATATATATAATCCAAACAACAATCTGTATCTAAACCTCGTGCATAACGTAGAATCCAGAATATTATTTTAATGTATCGATATAATATAAAATGTGTAGGCTAATTATGATTTGTAACTATAGATAGTTTCAAAAATATTTTTCAGTCTTGTATAATTATCTTAATACATAACTTCATAAAAATGAAATTAATTTTTATGATTTTTAAATATTCAAATTCTAGCTTTTTCACTAACTAATAATGTAAGCTTGTGGTGTCAGGATTGTCAACAAAGCATTTGAAGGACTTCTCTTGCCGTCCTGCGAGACTTTTTTTCAACAGTGAATAATATTGTTCACTGTGGTGGAAAGAAGTCTCGTGGAAAAAACGCTGTTTTGATTGGTTAATGTAAAACGTAGTTAAGATAATAATTGTACGTATACGAATAAAATGAAAATCTAACATACCTAGATAGCTTCGAAAATATTTTAGCTTCCAGTTTTGGATGATTATCTTAATACATAATTTCATGAAAATGAAAATAATTTTTACGATTTTGAATATTCAAATTATAGTTCTTCCACTGCTATGTCAGGATTGTTAACAAAGTGTCTGAAGTGGAGAAAGACAATCCTAGGAAAGAACCCTAAAAAGAACCCTTTTTGCTCCTACCATTTCGTGAGATTTCTTTCCACCAATGAACAGTACTTTGTATTTTACTCGTCTCGTCTGCTTTTAACAGTTTCATTTGTTGGAAATTAAATTTTCATTTTTCTTTCTTTTTGAAATATCGTGTTCGATCGTTAATCTCGGTTGAATTAAAATGTTTTTTAAATATCCATGTGCTTTAAAACATACAAAGTTATCTTCAAAGAAAAAAAAATAAATAAATGAATAAAAATGGAGAAAACAATGTATTCCTGTATCTTTTTCCTTGGATGGTAATGCTTAATTTTTATTTACTCGAGTTCAATAATGTCAGCTCGATTCTCGAAGTGCAAAGTGTTAGATATTTTTAGTTGCTTGAAAATGTTTCGTACACACATACTTACGTTCTATTTGATGTTCTCGTGGTGGGATCTTTTTCTCTTGGTAAACGGGAACGATTTAATTTCAACGAAAGAAATTCTCTTCTTTCTTGCTTTATATTGCATTCTCCTTCATTTTTAAATCGAATCTTCGTAATTTATTTTCTCTACCTCTTTCAAATTTTACTACATTTCGCGTTTCTCTTTGAAGAATATTAAGTCTGTCATCCTCTTGAAATATATTCGAAGGATTGAACAATCCTTAAATTATATTTTCTCTGAAGATGATGATTTACGTAATTTAAGAATCTCTTTATTATTTATGCTTTCTTGAAAAGTGACTTGAAAAATCAATTGATCGAGTAATTATTTAACGGTGACTCGATTCTTGGATTAAAGAAATTTTTAAATTATCCAACTTTCAGATTGAGAATATAACTTACATTAATTGGCTGCTGAATCTTTTGTTTATCCTGACAATATTAAACGTTGCTCTATGTTCTTATTTCTATTCTTATCAATATTTTCAGATTTGTGTTTACAAGATACACGATACTTCCAACTTTCATGTATCAAAGATAAAGAAAAACTGATTTCTATCTTCGTGAAAAACGTTTTAAAAACGTTCGCGGAAGGTTTATCGCAACAATCACAGATTTATCGCGAACCAGTGACCAGATAAATTTCCATCTCGAATTTATCGCGATATCGCAATAGTAAATTTTGCGGGAATATTTGAAAATATTACATTTCGAAATTTGATTTAAAATCGATCTTTCAAACTTTGGATTGTGAATTTCAAAAGAAGAGAAAGAGCTTTTTCGAATATTTCGAAATTCGACTCGAGATCTTTCAAACTTTAGATTTTAAATTCGAAAATAAAAGGAAGAGGAGAAATTTTAAAAAATGATGGGAATGTTCGAAAATATTATATTTCGAAATTCGATTTAAATTCAAATTCTCTGAATTTGGTTCTGAATTTAAAAGTGCGGAAAAGAAAGAATATTTTTTCGAACAAAATCGATTCAAAATTCGATTTGAAATCGATCTTCCAAATTCTGAATTTTAAATTCGAAACTACGGAAAAGAAGAAAAGAAATGGCGGGAATTTCGAAACGTTCGAAGATATTACATCGATTCGAACTTCCAAAATCTGGATTCTCTTTTTAAATTCGGAAAATGCGGAAAAGGAGAGACTTAAAAAAAAGGAAGTCACGGGAATTTCGAAGATGTTACATGTTTGAAAATTAGCTCGAGATGGAAAATCTTTCGAAAATGTGGAAGAAAAAAGGGAGCGAAAGGTGGAAGTTTGAGGGAAAATTCGAGTATTGTATCGATCCAATTGGACAAATTTGACCCGAAATAACGTTGCCTTAGAGATTAAGGAGAGAAGATTCAAAGCGTATTGACCGCCTTCGGCCTCAAAGCGGGCCGAGGATCTCGAATTATTGGAGCAGACTTTTTGCACAGTCTTTTTGCATCGTCTTTGCCGAATGTGTGAAAGAGGTGGAGAATCCCATTATGGGATTGTACAAGAAGAGTTGAAAAGAAAAAGTAAAAAAAAAAAAAAAAAGATCACATAAAATTCTAATGAACAATTCTAGCGAACAAAAATTTGTCTTTGATCTTCTCGATTGAGCGTGAAAAAAGTTAATGTCTCCGTTTAATCAGTTCTTGATAATTTTTTTCTCTTATATTTTCATTCTATCATTCTACCATAAGAGATCGATATTTAATGCAACGAATTTTAAAATTGATCGTGTTTTCGAATATTGCTTTTCCTTTTTAATTTTTGGGAAGATTATCCCAACTGCATCTTTTTATTTTAATTGGGCGGACTATATATTTCCAGAGCGTCTTTTTTTCCCCTTCTTTTTTTTTATGTTTTTTAATTCGAAGAATATCCTTTTTTTTTTTTACCCGTTTTACGTTATTTTAATTGGATGGAGAGTTTTTTTTATGAGCTTTCTTTTAATTGAAAGAATCTTTTTTCGGGTGTTTTTTTTAAACAGCTATTTTACATGCTTTCATAAATGCCGAAGGAATGGGGAAGTTATTAAAAATATTTGGAAAATGTAAAAAAAAAAAAAAAAGGGGGAAAGAATTCTTCCTAAGTCGAAAAGTTGAAAAAGTCGTATTCTATGCACGCAAAAACGAAACGAAATTTCAATCCTGTGCGTTAAAATTCACGCAAAATCCGCCATTCTTTTTTGTATATATCCTGTATTCGAAAGACTACAGTAAAAACTTTCGATAAAAAAATTTTTTAAAAGTGATAAGTATTAAAAATATTTGGAAGAAAAGGGAAAGAATCGTAAATTGAAAAACTTCTTCGTAAATTGAAAAAATCGAAAAAAAAAAAAATACTATTCTTCGCACACGAAATGAAATGGAATAGAATTTCAATCCTGTGAGTTAAAATTTACCCAAAATTCAAAAAAATTGAATTTTTCGGTACGCTGTTCTTTTTTTTTTTTTTTTTTACACATCCAAATCCCTATTCGAGTATTTGATAAAAAATTTCGTAAGTTTTTTAAAAATCGTAAGTATTAAAAATATTTGGAAGAAAGGAGGAACAATCAATTCTTTCTGAATAGAAAAACTAATATTCTTCGCATACGAAATGAAACGAAATGCCTTTTTTTTTTACACATTCGAATTCCTTTATTCGAGTGTCTAGTAGTATCTGATAAAAGTTTTTTGGCATTAGTGAAAATATTTGGGAGAAAAAAGAGAGAAGAAACGATTCTTCCAGTCGAAAAAATCGTACACAAAACGAAATGAAATAGAATTTCAACTCTATAATATTAAAATGTACCCAAAATTCTCGCCACCCTTTTTTTATCCGAATTTCTGACATCTAATAAAGAATATATTCGTAAAAGTTCTTTAAAAGTGATAAAAATTTATTAATTAAAAATATTAAAAATATTTGACAGGAAAAAGGGAAGAACCGATTCTAAATTGATTAAACTCGAAAAATAATAATATTCTTCGTATACGAAATGAAATGAAACGCCCGCCATCTTTTTTTTTTTTTTACACGTTTTCTGAATCCTGGCATCTGGTATATAAAGAATATCATTCTAGGCTCTTCCTAAAAGTACATTTTCGAGGGAGAGATGTAAAAGAAAATGAAAAATATCGATCGGCGGCGGTCGAGATCTACGCGTTATCCGAGCAACGCAGTCGAGTAGTCGTGGCGCGCGACGTATTAGGGCGAGCAGAGACGCGAGTATATGTTCTTGAATATAAAGTCGTCGGCTCGTGCACAGTAGTCGGTTCGATTCGATTCTCTTTCCCCCTCCCGTTCTCTTCGTTCATTCGTGATAATAATAATAAATATAAGACCTCGGTCTCCTCGGTCGATCGAGGACGAATGATGTGTCTGTCGGTATCTGTCGGATTCGAAGCGCGCTTACGAAGTCACTTGGAATTTACAATTCTTTTCCCCTTCCTATTGTATGGAATGCGGAGATAACGAGAAACGACAGAAACGATGGAGAGAAAGAAGGGGAAAGGGAGGGAGAGGGGGGGAGGAAGAGGAAGAGGGAGAGGGAGAGGGAGAGAGAAAGAGCGATTGGTGATAGTTGGTCGTTATCCATAAAAACAATTCTGATTGATTTTGAAAAATATTTAATACAAAAATTTCCATATTTTTTTCTCTCTCTCTTTTTTTTCTGCTGGATAAATATCGGATAGTTAGGCGAGAGGAATGACACTCACGTATCTGGATATATTATTAGAGTATCGAGTGAGCGTGCAAACAAGCGAGACGCGTTCGATATCTCGTTTCATTTTTAATCACTTCCGCCTATGCACACGCGGCACGAAATCATTCGAAAGATAAATGAATTTTTCGGTACGGCAAATTCGATTATATACACGACCTCGTGAAACGATATCTTGGTGAAATATTGATCTGTCCGGATGGAAAGGAATGATTCTGTTTATCTAGAATTATTTCCGCGCGGGATATTAATTCTCGATCCGGTCGATTCTATTCCATCCTATGCTATGTCGAGGAAAATATTGAAACAAATACGTCCCGATGACATTAAAGAGTAACAGGTGCCGTCGAGATCATTTCGAAAACATTTTGTTTAAACGTTCGCTTCCCTCGACGAATTTTTCAAATTGGAATGTCGTTTAAATTCAGCATCTGGTTTCTTCGATGGAATAATAATGGTGGCAAAACCGGGCAAGAATCGCGCGGTTGATTTATCGTATTGTGGACGATGGGGGAAACGAAGATCGTAAAAGCAACGATGTCTATACTGTGTTACGAACGCAATTTCACTGATCATTAACTCTTCGTTCCTTTTGGTCGAGGCATTCGTTCGTTGTACATCGATTTATTAAACGTGAAATGTAGTTGGAGCAAACTTTATCTTATCTCTCGGTTAATCTTATCTCGTCGTTATGAATTTACACGTCTTATACGCCTGATCTCGAGATCGAAAGTGGCCGAAAGTGAGTTGCCAAAGAGAAGGTTTTATTTTATTTTATTTTTTTTTTTTTTTTTTTTTTTTTTTTTTACAAAACTTGGTAAAGTTTAGATTTCTCGTATTAAGCGGTGCTTCTCATCTCCATAAATTTTGTTACTCTTGTGTTATAGGTAACCGTCCAATAGCGGTGCTCCCAGGCGTTTACACGTCAACCCAGCCTACGGTAAGAAAGTCAGTTTTTCGCGATATAGAGGATTCCTTTTTATGCGTGGGGCATAATCGTAAAGCTTGTCTACCGGTAATAAAAGTGACTCGGTGCACGTCGAGTTATTTTAACCGTCGGACGAATACATGTATTTATGATTGGATAAGATTAAAAATTTCTTACCATGGGTAATTCTTAAATCAAGAACGATAATTTAGAGTTTTATTAACAAGAACTAATTTGCGATTTAATTTCTTAATTTCTTAATTTAAACGGTACGTTAAATGTTTTAATAGTAATATAGCAACTAATATATCAAGTATAAGAATTAATACATCGCTCTAAAAATATTCGATTAAATTCGTGTAAATAATTGATTTTACTTCGTCCCAAGTATAATATAGATCCATCGTTTTAAAAATATTTCTACCAAATTCATCTCGATACATAACGAAATCGTTGTTAATCGAGCACGAGAGAAAAAGAATCTGTCTCAATTGTTATAAACATTAAATCCATTGCTTTAAAAATATTCGAGAAATCAATCGATTCGAATTCTTACAATTGATTTTTACAATTCGGCTTAAAAATAATCGATCAAATTTATTATAAATTCATCCCGATACGTTTAATAATCTTTGCTAATCGAAAGAGAAAGAGAGAGAAAAAAAAAAGAAACAATGGAGGAATCGGTCTTCTAAACGACCACCTCGTTTATCTGACTCAATCAACCTATCCGACTAAGAGTGAATGCTCGACAACGAAGGGAAGGAAATTGGCCGAACAAAATTGTAGACGCCTCTGTTACGAGCGAACGATTTTCAGCCAATGAATTAAGAATTATACTTTCAAAGTAGCATCGTTGCCTCGAATCTAAAAAAAAAAAAAAATAAAAAACTTCTCCTTTTTTCGATTTTTCGGCGGCACGCAAGATCCATCTTTCCGACACCTTTCTTCTTTACGATGGATTCTCTTTGACCATATGTGTGTGTATGTGTATGTGCGTGTAGAGGGTTGTTCCACTTCCGTTGAGGAGGAAAGATGCTCTCACAAAACTGAGACTCTCTCTTTTACCAAGAGTCAGAAAATATGGTTTTTTTTTTTTTTTTCTTTTTTTTTGGTAGACGGCACGTGTGAATAAATTAGTAGAAGTTTCTAAGCGGTGCCTTTTGATCGGTCGGTCGTATATTCAAAATGTGCTCCTTCTCCATAAATTTTTTTAATTATTATATATATATATATATCAATTATTATACAATTTTTTAATTATTATATTTATTATTACATATAATAATATATTATTATATATTCAAATTAAATTAATCAAAAATCACAAAATCTTTTCAAAATTCATTTTCCCTTTCGCGAAATTTCTACCATCGCTTCTATTACTAAAGCACGGTATATACTCTGTATATAAACTGTACATGTTTCTACAACGAAATATATATATTTATATTGCGAAACGTGACTTTTCCTCGTACCACGAAGACCGTGGATTTTTACTGATCTTAACATTATCTTAACCTTAACCATTCTTAAATTGTTTGTCGTCAAAAACTTTTCGATATACAAATAAACAATTCGTGATAGAAATTTGTAATTTACAGGGGAAAAGATATCGTCCCCTTATTTCCAAGATTCGACATCGAGCGGGTGAGCGTTGCACCACGTGCATGCGTGCCGTGAGAGGGGGGGGGGAGGAAGTAAGCAAACAAGCGTGGTTCGACATCGATTACCACTTTACGCAGGGACTGGGCTACATGGACGATGCTTATTCGCTTGGTACACACGCTTTGGTTGAACAAAACGTTAGATAGGATCCGCGGGAAAGTGGATTGGTCAACACGGAAGCAGCGCCTCTTTGTTTTTTTCGAAGTCGATCGTCGTAGAAATTAACGTATTCCGGTATAAAATAAATAATAAATAAAATTTATTCGAAAATAAATAAAATTTGATCGAAAGCCTTTTGCTTATATCGTTAAATTATTAAAACTATTAATAATGGAATACGGAACGCTGACACCATCTTCTTTCCGTTAAAAAAAAAAAAAAAAAAGAAGAAGAAGAAGAAGGAAATAGAGAAGAGGAAAATATTTTTCAACGCCCACACAGGCGAATTCCATCCAACGTTTTTTAATCCACGAAAACCCACGAAGCCCGTTACAAGTATTAAGTAGGAAGCATCCTTGATAAACTTTTATCCTCTCATTTGAATTTCCATTTAAAAAAGTTTATCCGCTCCTTCCCCGTTTAAATATAACGTAAATACAACGAGAGGTACAACGAGGGTAATTCGATTATCTCGAGCAAGTCAAAAAAAAAAAAAAAAAACTAAAAAGAAACGTACACGTTAATTACGTATACAATTGATGCACACTTTCCATTTTGTTTAAAACAGTCAGCGGTGGCAGCCGAGCGACGTTGAATGAACGGTCAGGATTGCATTAATTGATAGAACGAGTTTGATATTCGATCCCCGTTTGGGGAACGAAGCGTACGATACAACGCTATGCACTTGCATTATTAATCGGGGAGACGAGGATGGGAAGGGACGAGATCCCCCCTCCCCTCCCCTCGTTGGAAATAATTATCCACGGGCGACCGTGTCGAAATGGACAAACGGTTGATCGAGCATAGGAAACTCTCGAGCGGAGTCGCTCGTTTAATTGGAGATCGCGTATTAATTACGCGATCCAAGCTATCTTCGTATTTCCGGACTTTAACGGTGTCTAAAGAATTGAAAATTGGCATGGAAAATCACCTCTTAAATTTCCTTTCGAAAATTTTTCGTCTGAATCTGCTCCCTATATTATTCTTATTTCTCCTCCCTTCGTGGCGTGGACGTGTTTCAGAGAACGTTTTGAACGTTGCTCGATATTAACCGTCCGTTCATCCATCCAAAGAAAGGATTACAGGAGGAGTTGGCATGGTTGCCGCTTCGGGTAGACGAAGAAGGGAGGGTTAGGTTAGGTTAGATTTTGGTAGAGGTTACGGATTCTTCTCTTCTACGGCAGGGTAGGGTAGGAAGGAATCGACGTTCCACAAAATAGTTGCACAAGGTGGCCCTGCACAACGGCCTATTTTCCGTATTTTCACTCTCGTCCTCGTCCCGCGTGCAGCTTTTGTTGCTCCCTTTTCATCGCCCCGGCCGTGGATTCAGGTCAGCTCCGGTCGTTGCTTTTACACCGACGACCCTCCACCTCCATCGGTCCACCTCCCACACACGCGTATTATTTAGGAATATAGTATATATATGTATATATATATAGAGAGAGAGAGAGAGAAAGAGAGAGAGATACAGTAATGCAGTGCATATATATATAGGTGATATACAGACAGAAGCACGAATCATCAGGGCGCACGTTGCTCGATTCGAGACGGCGTACCAGTCCGTGAAAATTGCCGGAAACGTGCTACTTCGTTGAGAATAATTGCCACCGACTCCCCCCTGTCCATCGATGAAAGATCGATTCTCTGTTTTTTTTCTCTCCTATCTCGATACTTCTTTTTTTCCACTTCGTGAATGGAAAAATAAACCGCGTCTCGATTGCCTCTCCCCACGATTTCATCGTGTACGGGGTATGGATGATGGCGGAGGGAAAGATGAGTTGAGAAAGAAATATCGTTCTCCTGCTCGAATAATATTATTTAAATATTATAATATTTAAAGAATTTCTCGTCGAATTTTCATTTTCTCGATTCGATTTTCGAGCCCGATGGAAAAGATCAATAAAAGAGAAGGGAAAGGGAAAGGCATTCTTTCGAAGGTATTAGAGGGTTGGGAAAAATTTAATGAAACTTAATGAGAGGGTGTTAAAGGATATAAGTTCGATCTTAGCTGAATCCGTTCTCTGCAAGGATGCCAAGGATTTTGAGCGGATAATAATTCTGTCCACTCGATCGTGCATTCTCGAACGCGCAGTAATTTGGTTGACAAAACTTTTTCTCTTTCTCTCGATGTATTTTACTCGTAATTTGATCATTTTCAAAAATTTTTACGCGTCTTCAGTCTCAAAAAGTAGAATTCTATCTATTATATTATATATAAAGAAATAGAATTGAACTTATCTCCTCGCGACTCGTAAAAATCGTTATCTATATCCAAGTTTTCGAACGCGCAATACCAACGAAAGAAGAGAAATTAGACAAACGAGAATAACTCGTATATTTCTCGTCTCCTTCATATCTAATCTATAATAATTTTGTTGACAAAACTTTCCTCTCTTTTTTTCTTTTTCCTTCGAGGCTTTACTTCGATCGTTTGCAAAAATTTTCACGCGTCCTCAAGAATTCTATCGTGAAAAGAATAGAATCCAACTTATTTTCTCGCATTACAAGAACGTTATTCGACTCGTAAAAATCGTTATCTATATCTAAGATCTCTTAATGTTCTCGAACGCGCAATAATTTCTTTCTCTCGATATCTTTACTCGTGGTTTGCTCGATCGTTCGAAAATTTTCATGCGTCTTCATCTCGAAATGTAGAATTCTATCGCGAAAGGAATAGAATTAAATTTATCTCCTCGCGACTCGTAAAAATCATTATCTATATCTAAGTTCTCGACCGCGCTACCAACGAAAGAAGAGAAATTAGACAAACGAGAATAACTCGTATATTCTTCGTCTCCTTCGTATCTAATCTATAATAATTTCGTTGACAAAACTTTCCTCTCTTTTTTTCTCTTTCTTTCGAGATTTTGCTTCTACCGTTTCCAAAAATTTTCACGCGTCTTCTCTCGTGAAAAATTCTATCGCGAAAGAAATAGAATCTTTATCTTCTCGCGTTACGAGAACGTTATTCGACTCGTAAAAATCATTATCTATATCTAAGATCTCTCAATATTCTCGAACGCGCAGTAATTTCTTTCTCTCGACATCTTTACTCGTGGCTTGCTTCGATCGTTTTCGAAAATTTTCATGCGTCCTCGAGAATTGTACTGTGAAAGGAATTGGAATCGAACTTATCTTCTCACATTACGAGAACGTTATTCGACTCGTGAAAATCCTTACCTATA